GGGTGTTGGGTTGACGGTTGGACTCGATGATCTTGGAGGTCTCTTCCAACCTTTATGATTCTATGAGAGATCCGTACGCTGGTTTTGCATCCGGTGAAGCAACGTGCTGGGTGAGGCTGCTTTGCAGTAGCTGTCCAGGCACGTGTTCTTGGCCTGTGCTAAACGTGCAATCTCCCGCTTCGTGCACCGAGTGAGAATCTGCCTCTATTTACTGCTCGCTCGCTGCGGGGTAACGGAGCGCATGAAGAGCAGCGCGACGGCTTGGAGAGCTGGAGCGCTGGGGTTCAGCCCGGATCGAAACGTCATTCCAAAGCAACTTTGCCAGTCTGATAAATAGATATATTTTTTTTAACTCCTTTAGACTATCGGTAGGCGGACAAATCTTTCCAGGTCTTGGCAAGAGCTAAGGAAGCACGGTCTGGACGGATGCAACTCTTAAAATTTATGAAGTCTTAGATCCTGATGATCTTCCCTTCAGAAGCAGGGTTCGTGCGTGGAATGGCTGTGTCAGGCGCCTGAGCTCCTTGTTACTCTGGTGTTGAAAGTAAATGTTCCGTGAGTCGATGAGACCTGTGAAGACTTGGGGAAAGATTGGGTCTTCCCCTAAGGAGTTCTCTCGCTTTTTTTTTCTTTTTTTTGTTGTTAATACAGACTGTGATACAGAAACAAAGTAGTTGATTATCCTCAAGCCTACTCAGGTAATCAGTAGCTGATTATTCTCAGCTTACTGTGTTTAATTCCTTTCTTTCAATTTCCTTGACTAATAGGTGGAAGAAATAAGCTGTAGGCGTTCAGGAATATGGATCTCTAAGTGCTTGCAGTAAGGAAAGGGACCTTTCATGTGTGTTTGAGGAGAAAGCGTCTCAGTAGAAAGCAGGAAAATAAACGTAAGGGGGAGATAAAGAAGCAGAATACACTTCTTAAAATATATAGCTTCTAATTTGGCTTCTTTTGAAGGTAAAGTCTTCAAATTTTATTTGTGATTCCTTGACACGCCTTTTTTTTTTTTTTAATAACTTTCTGGTCTTGGAAACTTCTCTCATCCCTACGGCTAACATTAATGATTCACACCCCCCCCCGGGGTGTAGTCACTGCAGGTCTGAAAGGCAGGATGGCTTTTAGGCATCTGTCACGTCCCCAACGTCAGCTGCTGTGGCAGGCGGGCTGCTGCCCTGCCTCGTCCGTAAATCCCGCCCTGCTTCCTCACGTGTAACGTTGCCACTTTCCGTTCAGAGACTCTCGGATTTGCTGATGACAGAGGCCAGGAGTGTTCTGGGGAAGCACCCCAGTCCGCTCGCGCTGTTCCTGCGCTCTCACCAAAGCCTCTCCTTCGGCCTCGGGGGCAGCCTGCTGAGCTGGACTTTCCAAAGGGCACGCAGATAGAAATGGCGTTTTCCTCGCTGCTTCAGATCGGTCAGTGCTTCTCGCGTGCGAAGGTGCGGTGGCACCCAGCTGAAGTGCTGGGCAGCGAGTTTAAAAGGCAGATGCCTCCCAGTGTCGCTCGCAGATTGTGTAATCGCTCCCCACAATGATGGGGCGCAGGCCAAAACCGTAGAGGAATTTGAAAAGAGTTCAAGAAGGATGGATTGTTTTCTTATAAAGCACAACGTCTGGATATAATTTCTGCCCTCAGAAGTACCAACACAGCTGTTTGCTGGTGTAAGTTTGCTAGGGAGAGTTGGTGTTGTCTTGCTTAGACTTTTCCCCAAGCATGTGAGGGCTTGGGGAGGCATCTTATCTCTCTGGACCTTAGTCTGACTCTGGATAGCCGGTCTCGTTAACTCTGCGGCAGATTTCTCCATTGAAACAACCAAGTTGAAGCATGTTTGGGATACGAATAATATGACTGATTGAAGACTAGTTTATTTTTGACGTTATTTGCTACATTTACCTCCCTCTCCAAGGCATGTGCTCACCTCAACTAGGAGTTAGCTGCCCCCAAAGAGTGCAGACCTGCCCCGCCACCGTCTTTGCATCTCTGCTGGTGATCGTGGGGCCTCGGTGAGTTGATTCAGCTTTTTGTCCTCCACGGGTTGTGGGTTTTTTTTCTGGATATTTTTCTGTTGAACTGGTGAGTTTTAGTGACTCGTCCTGCTGCCATGTGACTGCTGGAGGCAACGGGAGGGCGTACCTGGGGATGGTAGGAAGAAGGGGACAACCTTTGCTGGTAGCAGCCGCCTGTTTAAATGGAGTTAGTTGGAGGGTGGACGGCTTGTGAGCCTCTGGAGGCCGGGAGATGCTCTGAGGAAGCAGCGCTGCATTTGCTCTGCTCCTAGAGAAGCTCCTGCTTAGGCACCTTCTGTCGGCTGCTGTCGCCTGTAGACCTCTGGTCTGCCTTGGCGGGCAGCTCTTGGGTTAACATTGCACCTTCCCCGCCTGCTTCCCTTGTGCTAGCTTAGCACTCGTCCTGTTCTTGGTGAGCTGAGCTTGCGGAAAGCTCGGAGAAGTGCCCAGAGCCGGGAGGGCAGGGGAAGGCAGCTGTGCCCGCTTTGGTGGCAGTATCTTGGCTGCGTCTTTGGCTCATCTGTGTGACACCTCACGCTGTCGTCTGCTGGTCTGATGCTCTCCTCTTCCCTCGTGGCAGCCCCGAGTCTCATCTGGATCCAGAGGGAGCGGTACCAGGGAGCTAAACTGGCAGAAAAATGGTTTTGCTTTTACTTCCATGGACTGACACGTTGTGAGCTTGGGTGAGCATTAGGGCCAGCAAAGGTGGGTCGGGGCCGCTCCTCGGCGTCAGCAGGGTGCTAGCTTGGCGTGACTGCGTGTGAAACTGTGGCTTAGGGTGAAGGTCTGCGAGATAGCCGCGTTCATCTTGCAGTGGTTCGATACAGTGGGCCTGGGGGTAGTTTTGGCCCCTCCTAAGTTAAACTGCCTCAGTGAAGAGGCAAATAGACGCCTGCTCAAGAGCGGGCAGGGTCGGGGCCTCCCCTTGGTGGTGGCGAGTCCATAAATCAGCACAAGCTGCAGCGTGCTGTGTCGCCCCTCGGGAGGTCTGCGGGCGCGAGAGGGTGGGGGCGAGGTGAGGAGGGGTGCATTCTCTCCCGGGTTGTCCTGTCCACCTTGTGATCCTTGGACCCTCCGCTGAGCCTGCTCCACCTGCTGAAGTGAAAGAGCCGAGCTGGTTCAGAGGGGTCCCGGGGGCTGCAAATAGCAAAAGGTAAATGAGGGACGGAGCGAGACCTCCCTTTTCTTGCGGCTGTTACCTGGTTTTTGGCTGGCCCTGCATCTTGTGAAGTCATGCCTTCAGAGCATCGCCCTTAGAGGGAAGCGATAACCCAGCCACTGACACTTTGCTGTTATATTACTCATCTTGAGGGGAGTGTCAGGTTCGGAGCCATCGACTCGGTTCACTTGGGGAGCAGGGACAAAGGAGGTGGGGAGGGAGGGCGTGGGAGAACGTGAAGAAGCTCCTGACAGAGTTAGGAGGAAGCCGTGAAATTTGGTATCCTACCCAGACAGTCACTCTTGTCCAAGTCTTAAGCCTGAGTTTAGAATATGCTGAGCTTAGGCTTGTGGAGCCTGAGCTTCGGTCCTTGTATCAGCAGTCTAAATGAAACCACCCGCTGCTGGCAAACGCCACGTACCCATCCCTGC